TAGCTAAGATAATTGAACATGTGGGTTTTGTAATTCTAACTTTGTTTCATTTACTTCATAGGAAAACCTCTCGATTGACATCTGATTTTCTTCTAGATATTCTGTTGGTAACTGTTTCTTTGAATCTACATAATTATGCTTGTTGACGAGCATCTGTTGTATGCTTTCGGTGAATATTGTCTATATGATGAAATAGATTCTGGTAGTTCTTATATGTCTCAAATCTGTAAAAAACGGTATCATCGGTCGAACCCTTTGCGTTATATTTCTTCTGGCTTTGAGGATTCGTTTCCGGACGCTGTATATTTAGTTAATTTCAAGAATATGTATGATGCCTGATTTGGTAAAAATTGCTGTTATTCAAAAATTAAACTAAGGATCCTATGAAATTTCTGAATGCGCACGTTTTATTGATATTGAGAAAGCCTTTCTCAAAATATATAAGATTTCCGCGTCTTCATTTTCCTTCAAAAGACATCGTAAAATTCAAGTTTTATTATCGTTTACTTTTACTATCTATGAATTTTGTAGGTTGCTTCCATACATATACATTTGGTATAGGACGGAAAGGCACTGGTCAGTGCTCACATATAGATCACAATGCTTTTTTTTTACACATAGTTAAGAATTAAACCTTTTTCTGCCGTCGATTTCATTGAAATCGAGACCTAGAAGAGTCGTGGCAGTCGCAATACAAATGAATTGTTCATATGATTAGGTCAAGATGAAGAGGATGAATGGCTCTAGGAGCAACAGCATTTGTCAAAGTTTCAAAACAGTAATCATAAATAAACAAATTTAGCTATTTATTACCTTTTTTGGTAGTTTTACAAATATCAAATTCTAGCTTTCTGATATATCGCTATTCAGTTTCTAGTGTGTCCAATGATAGAGGATTTTATGCTCTATTACGCTATGCATTTAATTTTGAAATAATTTGTGTTTTCTATTCGAATAGGGACGAGAAATTCAAAAAAAAAGAATACAAAATCTCTGTTTAGAAGCATTTGATAAGAAAAGCATTATCATTGTGCAAGAAATGCTTTTAACAAAAAGATCCAACACAAGATTTTCGTCTATGAAGTTGTAAAGAATTTTAAGTGCTATCAAACTATGTGGTTAGTTTCCCGAAAAAACTAGTTAATAATAATAAAAGAATAAAAATATTGTGTATGTCAATTTGCCAAACTTTTGAGAACATCATGCGATGCATTTTGATGTGCGTGTTCAAACGAGACTACTTTCAAAGGATACGATCTCACTGATCCGACTAAGTTGCCCAAAATACGTGAGCATGCTTTCTGAAAATGAAATATGGTGCCAATCAAAATTTGTTCCATGATGAAGTACTTTTAAAAGTCTCAAAAGATAGCCCGTAGTCGATAGTATCTTCGGTGAAAATTTCTCAGCGCCAACTATTATAACTTGAAAGAAAATTAAAATATACTGAAAAGTACTACAATAAAAAAAACGTGTAATTTTGATTGAGTACCCCTACTTTCAAGTAGTATATCTTCTCGAGAACGGCTCATCCGTTTGAACAATCGTTGTCGTGGCTTACGTGCAATGCCTTCTATGTGCATGTAATTTAAAATTTTTTCAGCGAGTTTTTGTATTTTAATTTGAAAAACGTTTTAACCAAAAATTGCCTTAAAATACAATAATTAAAAAATATTTCTGATATATAGTTATTTTATTACATCTATCATTGTTCTTATCTTCCCAAAATATTTTTGTTCTAAGACTACGAACAGTTTAGGTGCAGAAGTGCACAATTAAACTGGACAATAAGGTAAAATCTGGTTAATTATCAGCCTCGCATGAATAGAATCTTTTTATGATCGATCCTATAGTGTGTATACTTCTTTTTTTCTTTTTATTTAATAGAAAAAAGTTGCACAGGCAGGTCGATGCTGCAACCAGGCTTGCCAAACCTCCTGATTTGACCAGGAGACTCCTGATTTCTAGATTTTCCCCTACTCGATTGTCAGCGATACTCTAGATCAATAAGAGAATTAAAAGGAAAAAAGAGAACTATCGCAGTATTTAATAACTATAGAAACGAATAAAAAAAGACAAGCTATTATCTCATTTTTCTTTAAAAAAATCATCAATTACATGATCTAATTGTAGACAAAGTACTTGTTTTACTGTAGATAGCAGAAAAGCATATGTTATTGTCTAGAAAACAAGATCTTGAAAATCAGACAAGAGACTGGTAGACAAAATTTTGAATGGTCGGACACGATGTCTCTCATCTGGAATGAATTTTGGATTTCCTGGAAATCAAGTCGGACCCCTTTTAGCTCAGAATAGGACAATATCTTAAATGACCTAGCAAGACTTCTACGCTTCATTTTCATTATTACGATGCAGTTGCTATAGGCTCATTTGTGCTGCTATTTTGTTGTCAAGGTTTGGTAGGAATTATAAACATGAAAAGAATGAATAGATCTATAATACAGCAAAAAGAAGTGAAGACATCAATAAAAAATAAGCAGAATCAATGAAAATTTCGACAAAATGCTCATTTAATAAATCATGAAAAGCTTAAGAGAACAACAATTTAGTTTTTTAAAGGTTAACTTATCTTGTTTTTATAACATATTAACGTATAAAACACTCGTTGCAAAAATGAGCGAAGACCCATGTGATAAGCGATTCATACAGTGATGGAAGAAATAAAAAATGATTGTCTTTTTACCAACTCTGGTGAGAGTATTTCTATCGTTCTATTAATTTATGTAAATTCTTTTGCTTGAACTTCAGAATAAAAAAGGAATTTTGACTGATCGATCAGAATAAAAAAGAAGTCTCGCAAGACTCCAGATAAGAATATTAACTGGTCCAATGTGCATAATAGATAGAACTGAAAAAATGTTTTTACAATTCCTCTACGTGTATAGCAAAGGGTATTACTTGTGTTAGAACTCGAATGAAAACAATATCATTTGTATTAAAATATTGATCATCATCTTGATATGAAACAGATAAAAATGCTTATGTGAGTGAAAATTCGAATTTTCTACGAGAAAATCGCTTAAAGTTCTCTTAGCTTCAAATAGAAAATCTCCTGATTTTTCTCCTGATTTCTAAAAGAAATTCTCCTGCTAAACTCCTGTTTTTTGATAAAAAAACTCCTGATTTCTGAAATTTCAATTTTGCAAGCCTGGCTGCAACCAACCTGCACATTATCGTCATTGCAACATGTATTTCATCCGATTGGACAATTTACCTCTTCGGTAAAGTTGTAAAAAGCAACTTTTCTCGTTGCGATGTGGGGCATGATATCTCTTCTGTCTTATATGTGAATTAAATTTCACTTTATCTGAAAATGTATTCACCATAGGAAATTATTGATCAAATAAAGTTGTTCTATGACTGATACAAATTTTAAAAAAAATATATATATAAGAGGTGATCTAACATTACCTATGTGATATTTGTACAGTAATTGTAACATTATTCGTGCTTACATATTAATTGAAAAATATCTCGATTCATGGTATTTTTCTGGAATAGATGAAAACTAAAGTCATAACAATTTCTTATTCAGCTGATTAGAACTTCAAATCACTGTTGAAAAAACACACAAACAAAAGATTGATAGTAAAAAGTTGATTCTACAGCAATTTATACTCTGTAACAATTCTATTTAATAATAGGTTGCAAGATATTTTCATGAATATACTTTTTAACTAATAAAATGATCCATTTAAAGTTGTTAAGTTCACAGATTCTGTTTGCTTGCTAATGTGTTGATAATTGTCATATTCTTCATCATGCTGAATTGTGACTCCTTCAAATGTTTATGAAATATATAAGCAAAAATGTCTGGATGCCATAATAACATTCATTTCAACACAGAAAACAAATCTATTTCTTTCATCTCTGACTATCTTCTTTATTCACGATATTGAATTTCAAACTTTAATCGTTTGTTTCAGAAGTGAGCAGATTTTTCCATACTGAACAAAATTCTTGCCAATAAGCGTTCAGTATTTTGCCACAAGAAAATCTTTTGTACTTTTAACACTTGGATTACCTCGGATAAGTTTCTTTTATTCTTTGTTTTCAAGTACAATTGTTTAAGTGACCGCAAACAAAGAAAGACGACGAGTCACTATTTGTCCTATATAGAACTATCGCAGAGAATTTGTATTATTGAACGTTCCTATTTTTGCCTAGCTGATGCTCTCAATCGAGCTTTTTCATGTTGTTATTTTTTCATCAAGTTTTGTATATACATGATTAGAGCAATATAAGTCGAGCAAGAAAATAAAGGGAAACCAGTGTTTCAAATAATTTCATGTAATCTGAAGATGAACTGTCAAGATTTCTTACAATTGTATTCAAAAATATTTAACTGAAAAAAGACAAACAACAATTATAGTTACAATTCATGGGGAAATTATTTGAACAGTTACATTCGAATAATCTTCTACACAATCAAGATCTTGCTTGTTTTTATTCAAGTTTTCGCTATAGAAAAGAAGATACTATCAGTGTACTAATTCGAAAATATTGCAAGAGATTAAAAAATGGTTTCTTTTCAGTCTCGACTTTATTTTCACTTTATAATATGAAGAACTAAGAATCGATATCAAATTACTCGATTCAATTAACATCAATGTCCTATCGTAGATATCATCGAATTTTCTTTTACAGTTATAATGAACAAAAATGCCATCTGATTTTATTATCAATATGGAGGAAAACGTGACACAGTTGGCCTCGAAGTTACACAGAATAATTCGTTCATGATTTATTCCTTTTTTTTAAACACTTAAACGAAGAAATAGCACCCACTCCCTTCTCTATCGCAAAAGAAAATAATCGCTTGTTTCTTTAATTACATTTGTTTTCTTCTTGAAGGATTACTTTTTTTCGAACAAAAATTAAATTCTTAGATAAGAGTTGGAGCAATATCAAATTTCTAAGTATTGAAGAGCTACAGAACAGCGAATCTAAAAAAGATCATCTCGTTATTAGGCATAAGAATGATTGCCACCATTATTTTATCTTATTTTAACAGCTGCAATGTTTTCAATGCTGGTGCATTGTTTCATACTCTTTCTATTCAGGTAAACCAATAATCGATGACTTTCTTACTTATCGAGCATTGAAAGAGCTTTCTTTTTTTTTAGAGTCACAGGTTTGATTCTTGTTCTCATGATAGATTGCGTGTAATCCATTTAGTTTATCAATAGTTCGAGTAAAATCACAAGCATGTGATGGTATGTCTCAATATGATCGATGCTCTCTGAATTCAGCATGTGCCTGTTTCCAATTCCCTGGTGCTTCTAACACTGGTATTTGTACTGATCGATACGCAGTGACGTGTTCAGAACTGACACCATGCACCCGTTCAACGAATAATTGTAGTCAATCTGATCATATATGCGTTCATCATCCTCAGTGTGGTGATATTCCTGTTTGTTATCCAGTACCGAATTACAATAAACAATTCTCTCAACCGATACCAAGTAAGAGAACATAATACGAGCGACAGATTACAGTGAAATTCGAATTTTTCTTAAATTCATGCTGGCTCTCGTTGCACGTCTTCACTTATGGAATTCATAATGATATGGTGATGTTAAGGAAGAGTATGATAATCTTTCTTGAGACTATACTATTTGAGTTCATAAAATTCAATCATTGCAATAAAATCTTGATTACGACAAACTCTAAATCACATACAAGTTCATTTTCTATGACACTAAATGATAATGAGTATTATTATTTTAGCTACAACGACAACTAAACTCCCAACCAAACAACTCCGTAAGTTTTTAATTAGCACTGCTTTACTTTGCTCAATTATACTCGTTAAGCAATCGTATATATATATATATATATATATATATATATACAGGCCATTCCATTTACAGTAAAACCTCTGTTAGTTAACACCTCTAATCAGAAAGCATGCTTTGGTCCCCCCAAGCAAATGTTGCTGCGCCCAAATCACTCGATCCTGTCTCCGGATCCTGCCGGGACCCACTCCCTAACATCACCCTAAACAGATCTCTAAACAAGCATTTCCGCGAATAGCAACCACCCTGAAAAACGTTTGTAGCCCGAACCGAAAAGTGTCTGAGTCACCAATACACACGCTAAGAATAATCCAGGACCATCCTACCACACTTTTTATTTATTAAACAAAATTCCGAACTCGTTTACCGGATCATCGTGTAGCATTTTAATTCTTGAAAAAATCGCTCCACATAACATTTTGCACCCATCGAAATAATTATTAATTCATAGATAATGCATCTGAATGACATTATGGGCCATCACGGCTTAATTTTTTATCAATTAATAACATTCTAAACCTGTTAATTCTATCATCTTGTTGCATACAAATTAACAGAAAATCGCTCCACACATCATTTTTCACCCATCGAAATATTGCATCAGTCGTAGAGAATCGTTCTGATTATCATTCTAGACCATTGCAACATACGTTTTCCTCGTGTAGCATGATTCTGAGCGACATTCAAAACCGATTTAATGGCTTAGCAAGTAATTAAAAATGCGTGTGAGCAACATCTTAGCTTCACAAAAAGCGTTTGTTGGTGATTTGAAATGATGCTTTCGGTCTTACGAGACCGTGGAAACACGTGTGGCCGGCGTTTTAAATGATGTCGAGGTGCATGGAAGAACAATATAGTATGCATATATAGCAAGTTTATCTCGCCGTGGGTAATCATTAATGGCTCTGGATTTCGCGTTAGACCAGGAGATGATCGCGGAAGCAGGTTATATTAGCAGGGGTTATGATAAGCGACTTGAGTGAGATTCATCCGAGTCGATAACTTCGCTGCGCATCAATAAACACATAATCATGTGGCTAATGTGGATTGACTTTTCATAAATAATCTATTGGCTGAACCGTAATTTTTAATTCATGCCTATCATCGCTTGTATGAGCTGTTAACTAATAGTCTGAATGGATCACAAGGTCTTCCTTTAGTATCTGATAGTTAGTTGGAGATGTTTTCGGTCGGATCTTTGTTGTAGGAAGTGGCTTAATCCGGCGACTGGGACCCGCCCGACAAGACCCGACTGCTCGATAATGACCCGGGCTTGAGAGAACTATATACTATATGTGTGATTGATCACGCAATTACTATAGTGTAATCCTGTCGAAGAATTCTTTTAATGTAATTTTTTCAATCATTTATCTCGAGTTTTCTCCTTATATAGACTTATCATCGTCATAAGAGAATTTCACTTCTATAGAGTAATCTTCCAGTATAGAAAAACTATTTTCGGGGGGAATTTTCTTGGATTTCTAACAAACATGATCTATTCAAAGAATTTTGCTCGAAGCTTTCGAAATTACTTCATATACAAGCTATACTTGAGAGAGAGAGAGAGAGAGAGAGCGTAGTTCTTTTCTAATAATACTATCACTTTCGCGATATAGAGAGATCGCCTTTGTTCTAATGTTTTCTCTTCTAGTTAATATTCCTGCTAATGCCACATGGACACAGAACGGAATGACTATTGCTGGAGGTCACGGGTTGGGCGATGCCACTAATCAACTCAACGGCCCTCATAGTCTCTTCGTTGATGATGATCAAACAGTGTTTACTGCTGACTGGGGGGATCATCGTATTATGCAATGGAAGAAAGGTGATACAACGAATGGGCAAGTTGTTGCTGGTGGTAATGGCCAAGGAAATGGATTGCATCAATTGTATTGGCCAACTGATGTATTAATTGACGATGAGACGGATAGTCTCATTATTTGAGATTTAGGAAATGGACGAGCTGTACGATGGTCTCGCCGTAGTGGCACAATACAAGGTGAAATACTCATCGACAACATCGCTTGTTGGGGATTAGCTCTGAATGAACAGAGATATCTCTACGTCTCTGACTACGGAAAACATGAAGTAAGACGATATCAACTGGGTGAGAAGAATGGCACTCTCGTAGCTGGTGGTAATGGTAAAGGTGATGGAGTCAATCAGCTCAACTTGCCGAGATATCTCTTTGTCGATCAACAACAAAATGTCTACGTGTCAGACTTTGACAATAATCGTGTAGTGAAATGGAATAAGGGTGAAAAAGAAGGAATTGTGATCGCTGGTGGGCAAGGTAAAGGGGGTGCTCTGACACAATTGTCTTCTCCCCTTGGACTCTTTATCGATACGTTGGGTACACTCTATGTAGCAGACGAGGGGAATCATCGTGTAATGCGTTGGACTCAAGGAGACAATAAACAAGGCACTGTACTTGTGGGTGGAAATGGTCAAGGAGCAGGACCAAATCAGTTCAACTACCCCCGTGGTTTGTCTTTCGATCGACATGGTAATCTTTATGTCGCCGATTTGCATAATCATCGTGCTCAACGATTTTCTATCGAATAAGACTTGTGAATTATTTTCTCTTTGTTCGTTTCTTTTTCTATACTTTGAAATAAATGAACAAACAAAAGAAATTTTCTTTTATTCTGTCGCTTCAAAGAAAAGAAAAAAAGCTAAAATATAAGACTACATCGTATTTTTCTTTTCTTTTCTCTATTATCTAAATCAAGAAATAAACTAATGAATCTTTTTCTTTATAGAAACAATAATGTCTTTTAGAAACAATATCGATTGTAAACTACAAAAAGATTATTTATTTTTAAGGTAAATTTTTTATTTGATGATTTCATTTTTATTGATGTCTTTTATTTTATAGTATATTTACTTGCTCTATGAAAGGAAAATGAGTGATCTTGAAATTATGTTAAATTTCACTTCTGCATTAGTATTACTAGCTGCTGATCAAGTTCTACAGATGACATCGTTATCGAATCAAGAATTTCAATTGCTTTTATTTTAATACTCATAATAAATTAGTTTACAATAAAGAATTCGCTCTTTTTTTCTTATCTCATTATGATAATATTCATTTTATCGACTTTAATCAATTGGGAACAATACTTGATAATTAAGTAAGAATTCATTTATTTTAAAATGAATTTAAGTAATTAACATTGATAACTTCTGGTTTTAATGAGTACAGTCGAAGCCGCTTATAAGAACTCCGTATAAAGGAGCGGTACGCTTTTAAGAGCCGTTTTTCAATTCCCCGTTTTCTTCGAAATGTATTTTACATTGTGGTAACGTCCGCTTGTAGGAGCTTCGGATACAGGAGCGATTCGCTTATAAGAGCGCTTTTTTGCGATTTTAGTCCACATAAAAGAGCTTTTTTTATCTATATCATTATAAATATGCACTTATGTTCTTCTTCTTTTTCTTTCCTGTCATATATATGTGATGAATTTTTTCTTTTCTTCGTTCTTCTTTCTTTCATGTTGTTCTATGTT